TAGTACTCTTTAAGTCTTAATTCTTAAAATAGATTCCACATACTTTTTTTGTTACTTGATAAATAGATTTAGACTTTAGAGTCTCATATTTAGTGTTTTGTGATTAAAATATATTTTTTGAATACTTTTGAAATAATTTTTTTTTCTTACCAACTTACTTGATTCAAAAATTAAATTTTAGGATGTATACAAATAACAAATTGTGCAATTGAAAATTTTGTGCTCATTGACTCATATATTGCTAATTATTGCTTGTGGTGTTGAAAGATCAAATAGATATATTAATTGTTGTTTGGGTTGTTGATAGAAAGTTATAGATTTCAATAAAAATTAATTGAATTATGTGAATTAATTCTATGATAAAATTGATTTTTTTGCAGAAATTTATCTTTGTAAATTGAGATGGATAAGTATGTCACAAGATCGAAAATTGGGCATCCAAGTTCTAGCTCTACTCATCCATCTACCGCTTCAACCATAGCTCCGAAAATTCAAAGGAAAACATTTATTTCAGATGTTGATTTAGAATCTCTTGAAGCTGATCCGGGAATTAGAAAGCCCATTGCAGAATATAATCCTAATATACGTGATGATATTAGGAGATATTATATTCTTAAAAAGCCTTGCCAACCTAAGGATCATAAATTTCCTAAAACTAAGTTTGGGAAGGAAATGCGGCAATTTTTTCCTGATTGGTTTAATGGCCGTAAGTGGTTGGAGTATAGCATAACAAAAGATGCTGCATTTTGTTTGTGTTGCTATTTGTTTAAAAATGAATGTGAAAGTCGTGGATATGTGGTTGATGCTGCTTTCACAAAGACTGGCTATAGAGCTTGGAACAAAGCTACTGAAAGATTTAGAGCTCATGTTGGAGATATAAATAGCATCCACAACAAGTGTTTCAACAAGATGCTTGATTTGATGAATCAATCACAGTCAATACGCACTTCCTTTGATAAAAAGTCCCAGAAAGAAAAAAAGTGAGTATCGGCGTCGCTTGAGTGCTTTAGTTGATGTGACAGATTTCTCTTGAAATTAGGATTATCATTCCGTGGACATGATGAGAGTCGATCTTCTTCAAATAGAGGTATTTTTCTTGAACTTTTGCAATGGTATGGAGATATTAATGAAGATGTTGGAAGCATTATTTTAGAAAAAGCTCCAAAAAATGAAATGATGTGTTCTCCAAGTATTCAAAAGGATATTGTTGATTCTTGTGCTAAGGAAACAATCAAATCTATTCTTGAAGATTTAGATGGGGATTATTTTGGGATACTAGTCGATGAATCAAAGGATGTATTACACAAGGAGCAAATGGCACTTGTTTTGAGATATGTTAACAAAGAAGGAGAAGTGATAGAGCGATTTGTTGGTATTATTCATGTTAGTGATACATCTGCTTGTTCATTAAAGGAAGCAATATACTCTTTTCTTTCAGATCACTCATTAAGTCCATCCCAAATATGTGGGCAATGTTATGATGGAGCTAGCAATATTCAAGGACATCTAAATGGTCTTAAAACTTTGATTTTAAATGAGACTCCATCGGCATATTGCATTCATTGTTTTGCCCACCAATTGCAGTTAACACTAGTGGCTCTTACAAAGAAGGATTCAAATGTAGATGACTTTTTTTGCTTAGTTACTAATGTGTTAAATATTGTTGGAGCATCTTTTAAGCGCAGGGATTTACTTTGGAAACACCAAGCTGAACAGTTAGAGGAGTTGCTCATATCAGGGGAAGTGCATACTGGGCGAGGATTAAATCAAGAACATGGGCTTCAGCGGCCAGGTGATACTCATTGGGGTTCTCATTGTAGAACATTAGATAATCTTATTGTTTTATTTCCATCAGTTATTCATGTGCTTGAATTTACTGGATGCGAGTGTCCAAACTATACTGATAGACTTCTTGCTAAAACTTTTGTGGATATGATTAAGAAATTTGATTTTGCCTTTATGCTGCACTTGATGTGGAAAGTTCTTATGATGACAAATGAATTGAACTTCTCATTACAAAGGATGGATCAAGATATTGTCAATGCTATGGGATTTCTTGCTCTTACAAAGCAAAGATTACAAAATATGAGGGATAATGAATTCGAATCATTAATGGATGATGTCTCTTCTTTTGGTGATAAACATGATATAGTCATTCCGGAGATGGATGCTAGCTACTTTCCTGGGAAGTCAAAGCGTAAAGCTCTTGATGTTACATATTCTCATCATTTGTGTGTTGAAATATTTTATGCTATTATTGATTTGCATCTTCAAGAGCTTAATAATCGTTTTGATGCTGTGAGTACAGACTTACTTCTCGGTATGGCTAGTTTGAATCTAGTTAATTCATTTGGTAGTTTTGATAAGGGCAAGAAAATGAGGTTGGCTGAATATTATATGAATGAGTTTGACAACAACAAGCTTCAGGATCTTTGTGTCCAAACTATACTGATAGACTTCTTGCTAAAACTTTTGTGGATATGATTAAGAAATTTGATTTTGCCTTTATGCTGCACTTGATGTGGAAAGTTCTTATGATGACAAATGAATTGAACTTCTCATTACAAAGGATGGATCAAGATATTGTCAATGCTATGGGATTTCTTGCTCTTACAAAGCAAAGATTACAAAATATGAGGGATAATGAATTCGAATCATTAATGGATGATGTCTCTTCTTTTGGTGATAAACATGATATAGTCATTCCGGAGATGGATGCTAGCTACTTTCCTGGGAAGTCAAAGCGTAAAGCTCTTGATGTTACATATTCTCATCATTTGTGTGTTGAAATATTTTATGCTATTATTGATTTGCATCTTCAAGAGCTTAATAATCGTTTTGATGCTGTGAGTACAGACTTACTTCTCGGTATGGCTAGTTTGAATCTAGTTAATTCATTTGGTAGTTTTGATAAGGGCAAGAAAATGAGGTTGGCTGAATATTATATGAATGAGTTTGACAACAACAAGCTTCAGGATCTTAGTTTTCAGCTTGATAGCTTTATAGTTTATGTCTGTGGTTCTGACAAGAGGTTCTTCAACTTGAAAGGAATTAGTGATCTTGCTAAAGTATTGGTCAAGTCAGATTTGCATCAAATTTGGCCACTTGTTTATTTGCTTATCAAGTTGACTCTCATTCTTCCCGTTGCTACTGCTTCTGTGGAACGAGCTTTCTCATCCATGAAGTATATTAAAAATGAACTTCGCAATAGTATTGGTGATGAATTTTTGAATGGTTGTTTAGTTTGCTATGTAGAGCGTAAGATATTCGCAAATGTAAGCAATGATGCTATTAATTTATCGTTTTCAACATATGAAAAGTCGTCGAGCACAATTATAACTTTTAAGACTAGAAGTCTCTTTTTGTAATGATAATATTACTAGTAGGTCATTGTGACTTATAACTAGTGGTTGTTTTTGATGATGATAATATTAATCGTTGTTTTATTTGTTTTACTTTTTTTTATTAAAGAGTTTGAGTTAGTATTCGTTTACTTTTTTTATTAAAGAGTTTGAGTTAGTATACGCTTACATTATGTGATTGCTAACATGTTTATGTTAAAGGAAGTGAGCACCCACAACCTTCAAATCCTGGATCCGCCACTGGTCAATACAACAATATAATCACATGCACATATCGAACATATACAATATCATCAACATATACGAACAATGAACGACTTCACGATTCTCACATAACACAATTATATCAATTTAGAGCAACATACCGTCTTCCAATATCAATCATCATTAGATATGAACGAACTCATCACAAGTAGATACACAACACAATTCAATGGTCCTCTCACGGAACCCAATTCAATGGCCCTCTCATGGAACCCACACCCAAACAATTAGCATACCGGAACGTGGTATCCGAACTCATAATTATGCCAGAACGTGACAACCGATCCCAATTAGTTATGCCGGAACATGGTTGCTGATCCCATATTTATGTCGAAACGTGGCAACTGATCCTATAATTATGTCGAAAAGTGACAATCCGATCCAAGTTAGTTATGCCGGAACGTGGCAATTTGATCCCATTCACACACCACAATCACAAACACAAATACATCATCAAGATCATACATTTAAATTACGATTTCATGGCAATGATATTCATCTATCTCATTTACAACAAGTGTGATCAACATTGCAACATTCACATACATACATGTATCATAATGAAGCAAGAACAAACATACATCACACAATCATAGAATCACAATCATCACCTACCTCGAAACAAGCTTTAAACCCTAAGAAACTTGATCCTTCCCTTTCCGGATTCGTTCCGCTTGTTCTTGGTCTACAAATAATCATAATAACACGGGAATCAATAAACAATCACTAATTACCCGAATTACTAACAATTCTATGAACCCTAGATCATACCCATGATCCCAATTATCCAAATTAGGATTGTTTCCACCATAGAATCTATAACAAAATCTCCCCCCATCAATATTCACCCATTCTATTACGTTCTATGGATCGAAAAATAGATTCGGAGAGTGAAAAGCTTACGTTTAGCCTCAAGAATAGTGAAAAACGGTCAAGAAGTCGCCTGGGGTCGTCTCCTTAGCTCTAAAAATCGAAAAGTGCATACTGAGGTCGTTTAGGGGTTTATTAACGACTTTAATTCGCGTCGAGACCGCCACAGCTGCCACCACCTCGCCACAACGACGACACCAAAGCAGCAAACATTCCCGTCAAAATGGCCAAAACGAAACAGAGAGCTATTTCAAGAACTCCAAAATTCTCATTTCACATCACACCTCTAACCCACGACGCTTAGTAAATATCCTTTATGCTAAGATCGATTCCGGGAGTTCTACTTGCCCGAATTCAATTTCGTAAAGTCGTACCGATTCCTTAACGAGCTATCTAACTACTCATGTAATCAAAATCATAAGCGATTCACCCAATTGTTACCAGATTTTCCTACACCTCAAAGACTCCGATTTCGTCTAAATCTGGACAAAGTTGGGAAAATTCTTTCTGACCCCAATTCTTTCTCCATTAGCTCTTCCATAACGACGAAAATCAGATCGTTACAGAAAAAAAATTAATGTGAACAAATCTCCCTGTTAAGCTGATTGTATATTTTTCTGCTCTATCTGCTTGTATATGACTTATGAAAAACATTAAGCTTTCTTCAAAAACGTCTCCATTTGATAGTGCTATAAAAAAGTAAAGTAGTTTATCATTTGCTAGGCACTTGAGACATATGGCCAACATGAAAGAGGTGTAATGCAAATATTTAACCAAAGCCGATTATGTTTCTTGGTATAGGAAAGGTAAACATTTATTATATAAGAAAATGACAAATCCACATTAGGATGGCCTTTAACTCTTATATATACTATAAATAACATGACAGAAAAATTAGCTTTCCCTTGTAGGAGAACATTATACAAACGCTTCACTTTCCAGCTTTCTACCTCTCATTGTTATTGAACTGATAAGACATTAGCAAGTCAGAGAATATCCATTTAGTGATTCATTGACCATATTCTAGAGCTGAAGGTTTTCAATTAAACACTGTCCAAGCTAAGGGAATCCTTTTTAAGTAGCACCAACCAAGGGAACGCGAGGTCGTCGTCATATGAGTTTATTATATGTGCATAAAATTACTGATCATAATCTTCAGGTTTCAGAAGTCCTGTGAAAATCGATAATTATCCAATAGTAATTTAAATTGAAATGCAATTACGAACTCTGTTTCTTATTATGATTTATGATATATAAAAATAGCAATTACATAAGACTCAATCTTTATGAATAAAGATAATGCACTCTTCACTAAATTGAATGCGACAAAAAATATGAGCTTTACATCGTCTTTTTAAAATAAGTCCAGATTTTTTATGTGTATTCAGATTTATAGAGATTTAAATTTATAGCATGCAACATATAGAGATTCACAATGTTATAATGAAAAATAAAAAAATATATAAAAAGAGAGTAAAAATTCGTCTTTATTGAAGAATCGAAGAAAAGTCCTTTTGCTAGAGGTTTAAAATTAGTACTCCCTCCGTTCCATTTTATGTGACACTTTTTAGATTTTGAGATTCAAATAAATCTATCTTTGACCAAAAATTGTTCATAGATTTTTTAAGCATTTTGAATTATCAATTATTGGGACTTATAATATTTTTTTACGTAGTTTACAAATATATAAATTTTATTTCAAAAAAATTGAAGATTAATGCGCAAATTCTCGATCAAACTTAAATTGTTTTGACTCTCGAAAAACAAAAAGTGCCACATAAATTGAAATGGAGGGAGAATACAACAGAGTCCCAAAATTACGAGTATGAGACCAACTATTTTCAACGAAAGTTCGATCACTTCAGCTTTGCTGATCTACCTTCATTTCGACAGTTTTACCTAATCAATTTCCACATAAGGCTTACAGTAGTCAAATAGTCATGTATATACATGCATGTACAAATCAATACACAGTTAAAAGTAACACACAATTAGTTTTAAAATTCTTCCTAAGTTCATTTTCCACTTTTTGTTCCTTTCTGTATAGCAATCTTATGAAGCAACAAAATTGAAACAAAAATCAAGCCAATTGAATGAAAAATCAATGAAAAGAGAGATAAAACCAAAAAGAAAAAAAAAAGAAAATCAAATCTTAATTGTACAGAGAAAAAACTTTAGCATGAATAAATGGAAGAAGAAGAAGGTGGAATTGTACAAAACTCTTCCATGAAGATTTAATTGAGCATGGAGTTTTTCAAGGGATGGAGAATATGAAGAGATTTTAGGGTTTGTAGAAAAAGTGAACAAGGATATTGGATGGAAACACACGTGTTTTGCAGATACAATATACACGTATATTATTTAGAGAGGAATGTAAAATTACCAATTTAGCCATGTCTTTACAACTTTTTGGTACAGTCCATATTACTTTCGGTACACCACTTTATTGCAGTGTTCGTCCTAGCCTTATTGGCTTAAATATTTAATAAATAAACTAGAAGGGAGAGTCCGTGCATCGCACGGGCCCAACATGACTAATTTGATTGATTAATTTTATTCAACTTGGATAAAATTGGTAATAAAGAGTGTTATAATTTTTCTATTGATTGAATCGTAGCAACATATACAAATTAAAGATATCCCAAGTATCCTGACTATAAGTTGAGAAAGTAAACACATCTTTAAAAGAAAATGCCCTTTGTAGTTCATGTGATCAAGAATTTTTGAGGATTGAAATAATTGAATTCTCTTGTGAAAAATCAAGCCTGCAATGTTTCAAAAGTAAACTTTAAACACCAAAATATATAATTACATATTTGAGAAACCTTGTAACACAAAGTAAAAGTTCAAAAAGCACACAAAGTTGAACACTTGAGACTCAAACTGACGTAAAGTGTTTTACACAAATAATTGTGAATAACTTTTGTCTAGCAGGTGACAATTTCTTCAACTAATGAACTAAGCCTATGAACTGACGCATCCCGTTCAACCTTGCCAACAATTAAAAAGCTATCAGCTATCTCGTAATTCTCAAAAAAGACTCTTAAGACTCCAACTTTCATAATTTTACACAAAACGTCTATCAAGATATGTGTAGTTCAGTGAATATCTTTTTTGACTTCACTAAAGAATTTCTTTGGACAACTATTGAGGCAAATGAAAGCAAAGACATATAAAAGCTCAGAATACCGAACATATGAGGATACAACATATGTGACAAATCAGAATATGTTTACGTCTACAACGAAACAGAGAGAGATCAAAAAGCAAATCTATCTACAATGCTAAAAGAAAATGCAAATCAAACATGAGGAAAGCAGAGCTCAAAGTTGCACCCAATTTTAGATTAAAAAGATCTTCATATACCAGAAAGAATTTGGATCTAAAATTTCAAAAATTCGAAAAAATTAAAATCAGTGAAAGCACCAGAGGAATATACGAAGAAAGAGGATAAAAAAGATGCTCTAGGCAAGACTTAAGTTTAGTCCTATTAATATACAGGAAATTGTTTGCAGCATGCATGTAAAATCACATATTTTAAGTAGAAATTACCAGCAAATAAGTGCAAGATTTATGGGATAACTTACCAATTAGTAGATAAGAATATTATAACTATTCGCAATTGATGTGGTGGCTCTTGGGTCTTGAAGGCTTCCAAAGTGTCTAAAACTCTTCTCAAATCGAGTTCGGAACCTAAATAAGTCACAAAAACATAAAAGTGGCCAAAATAAGCCACTACTTTAGTAAGTAATTAAAATAGGCTTAGTGGAAGAAAAAATTCAACTTTATCTAATATTCTAAACGTTTTCCGTTAGTCTCATAATGTGTATATTTTAATATATAACGAAACTATTTCCTACACTTCATAAAAT